AGTATCTAGTGGACACGACTTAGCTATCTCGTGGCCACGACCTAGTAACTCGTCACGAGATAAATATAAATACACACATGTCACCGTTGTGCCACCATATAGTATAGAACATAGTAAAGTGTTATAAACTTGGACAAATGTAAAAACGGTAGTATATCAGACCATTATACAAAACTGTTTTACTATAATAAGTAAGATTACCATAATCTTTAGTTTTACTCTTATAAACGATTATACCTACCATTGCCATTTAAAGTTATTGTAAAATGATTAACTTTCATATTTCTACAGCCTATTTTGTTGACAAGGAGAGTATACATTAGAACAATACAATACAGGATATAGTGTTATAAAAGGATGTCTACATTAACAATCATATCTTAAACTTCATAAAAATCAAACGGCTCAAGCATAACCAAATTGGGCAACTTGTTTTGTAACGTATGTATTTAGTATATGAAGAAGCTAAACCTAATTGATTTAAAGCCTACCTCTATAAAGTAACTGACTATCCAGTATCTGACGCTTTTCGGTAGTCCATTATTTGCTATATAATTTAACAACAGCGATTTTCTTGTCCACTTAAAGGTTTACTACACACTACACAATGCGTTACACTAATTGTCGTAAATGTAAATTGTGAGTTTATTTATGAAAATAAACGTGTAGTATACAAAGCTAAGAAATTAACCTAATGTTTTATTTTACATCGCAATTAATAAGTGGCGGTCTATTATACTGACATAATGCATTTGTAATTTAACATTTTTATGTTGTTTACATTTCTTTTAAAAAAATTGTGCATACAAATCATAAAAGCATATTTTTTCGTCTTTAATAAAATAAAGTTTCACTTTCCCAATGACATAGGAAGCAGTACACAGTTTCGATCGTTTAGTTTCGAATAAGCCAGGGGTGAAATATACAAATAAGAGAAGTTTTGAAATTGAAGCTTCTAAATATTTAAAGTTGCTAAATTTCAAGTTCCAGTGACTAGTATTTTGTTTCAGTTTATAAGTAAAATTGATTTTAGCGGTATTTGACTCATATATTGTGAGGGAGTACACATCCGGATGTATGATCCATGGAGCTAGTTCGAAAATCAGCTCGGTATATAGAAGAATTAAAATAATGAAAAAAAAAGAGATGGGTATCTTACTGTTTGGATTCTTTTCAGATTTCAGATTGTATGTGCCTAACTGCTTCAGTGTGATATTTAAATTTGTATTTTTACCTAACAGATATCAAGTTATAGAATTTTGTAAATGAAGATATTTTTACCATCTGATTAAAAACAGCAACATCACGCAATAATTTAGAGATGTTATTATAATTTACCTCTATTGATATTGCAATAACTGACATGGCTCTGCTGTTTTAAAAATGTTTGGCATAAACATATGAAAGTTATCACCAATTCGTTTCCGTTCGATTTTTATACAAAACCGGTTAGGACATTTCAACTCCATGAATTCCCGATTTAACCTTCATGAATTCAGAATTTCAGCTTCGTGACTTCCCGTTTTCAACTTTATGAATTCACGATTTCAACTTCAAGAATTCAACTGCGTCAATTGGCGATTTCAGCTTCACGAAGTTGAATTCGTAAAGTATAAATGAATTCATGCAGCTGACATCGTGAACTCATTCAGGTAAAATCTTGAATTAATGAAATTGAAATCGTTATTCGTGAAGTCGAAATCGTAATTTCACTAAGTTGAAATCGTGAAATTCAAATCGTATGCAACTGCGTGAATTCAAGATTCCAGATATATGAAGTTGAACTCATGCAAATGAAAAGGCCTTTCGTAGATTTGAGACATTTTACTGCTTCTTTTTAATTTTCTTCGAACAAAATAAATCGAATTTATTTCAGCGTCTTAAAAAATGATTATATAAAAAAGCAGAGACATTGCTAAGCTAACTATAATATAATTTCAGTGTTGATTAGATTTTCAAGGGTAGAATAAAGTTATAATTGAACATAAAAAAATGCTTCAGTAAGGTGGCAAATATTTTTTTTCTTTTTTGTATATTGAAATTAAAGAAAGGATTAAAAAAAAACTACAACTCACGATTGACTGGATGAAACAACCTGTACTTTACCACTGTTATTATACCACTGATACTATACCACTCTTATACCACTTTATAGGACTCATGTACGGGTTTATATGATTAGGCAGAATAATCCAAAGTTTTTTTTTAAATAAACAAATAGCACAAAAGTTTGTATTTGTTATCTTAAAATATGTATAAATGTTACTATTATTTGTTATAAAACAAACAAAATGAAATGACGAACAACCCGGAAAATATATTCTTTGTAATTCTGCTTTCTCAAGTGGTTTCCTCTTTTCTTTTAGAAACGTTGTATTTACGGTACAATGTCAAAAGATATTATAAAATTAGCCATGCCATAAACTACGGAATGCCGTTAGGGCCATCGCCTATGAATGTGTTGATCTGAAACGCGATAGACGATAGTACGATGGTGAAAACGCGAAATCACGAAACTACGATGGTGAAAACGCGAAATTACGATGATGAAAACGCGATAGTACGATGATGAAAACGCGACACTACGATAGTACGATGATTAAAACGCGATAAACTATCGTGTTTTCACCATCGTACTGTCGCGTTTTCACCATCGTAGTTTCGTGATTTCGCGTTTTCATCATCGTACTGTCGAGTATCGAGTTTCAGATCAAACCATTCATAGGCGATGACCCTAATGGCATTCCGGAATGCCGTTAGGGCCATCGCCTATGAATGTGTTGACCTGAAACGCGATAGTCGATAGTACGATGGTGAAAACGCGAAATCACGAAACTACGATGGTGAAAACGCGAAATTACGATGATGAAAACGCGATAGTACGATGATGAAAACACGACAGTACGATGGTGAAAACGCGATAGTACGATGATGAAAACGCGAAAGTACGATGGTGAAAATGCGAAAGTACGATGATGAAAACACGAAAGTACGATGATGAAAACGCGAAATCACGATATTACGATGGTGAAAACGCGAAAGTACGATGATGAAAACACGATAGTTAATTGTATTATCATCATCGTACTGTCGTATTATCGCGTTTTCGTTATCGTACTTTCGTGTTTTCATCATCGTACTGTCGCATTTTCACCATCGTGGTTTCGTGATTTCGCGTTTTCATCATCGTACTTTCGAGTATCGTGTTTCAGATCAAACCATTCATAGGCGATGGCCCTAACGGCATTCCGTAATAAACATTTACTGTCGATCATCAAAAGATGTTTGAGGTGGAGGTAAATTATAAGTGATTTCAATGAAATAATACAACAATACAAGTATACATTTCCTGTAGATAATTGTACTAATTAAACAGATGACAATATACATGTGATGAATTAGATCTCTTTTAAAGAGATATAACATTATGTTAATCGTTAGCAAGAAAATATATTGAAAACTATTTTTTTTTTACCAACAAAAATGTTTATAATGAAAAATATTATAATGTTCCTTATAAGGAAGCTTTAAACAATAATACAATGGAAACGAAATGATGAAAAAAAAATGAGACAGGGTCCAATAAGCAAAAATGACAAACTGGTATTGCTCACGAAATATACTGGTTAAACGCTTGATGGTCTCGAATGTTATACAAAATAATCCTAGTACCATATTATATAGAAATATTATAGAAAACACGGATTATGTTAGTTGTAAGCAAGGATATATAGAATGATATTTTCTTATACCAAACAAAATCTAGCAAATACAATGATATGAAAACGATGTGGATTGTCTACAGAAAGTGACTTATTCCTCATTTAAAATTGTGTTAAAGCTTATTGGGAAAGTCCAAAGCTTATAGTGAATTATATTATGATATTCCTTATTTGGCCGATTTAAACAATTTTGCAATAGAAAAAAAATGATAAAAGAAAAAATGAATAATAAGACATTGTCCAATAAACAATGATTACAAACTGTTTGTGTTCAGGACATATACTGGTTTAACGTTTGATGTTCTCGACTGACATACAATCCTATTACCAAAAAATGTAGAAAAAGTCTACGTTTTGAACACTTACTCAATGCTGCTATCCCCGACCCTGTTAAACCGTGCATATAGCACGCCAAAGAGTTCTGTGTAGCCAAAAATGTTATAGATCGATTAAAATAATGTAACACGAGTTAAAATTCCGATGAATATATCACATTTATTCATTCTTAAATGGTATGCGCATCAAAAGAATATGGTACATAAGATGCGACTTGTCCGTGTGGCTTACGTTTTTATATGAAAATCAGTGACGCTGGTTTATGTCGCAGCAACGCTAAATGTCGCACTTTCCACTAATTGTCGCGCTATTGCCGCAAAGTTTTACAGCTACCGCTAAATGTCTACAATATTCTTACCATTTTTCCTTACCGACTGTTTAATGTCACAATTTAACCGTTAAATGTCACCATATCTTAACTTATGTTAAACAACATGTATAACGTTAATATTTACTTTAAACTTCATACATATATCGGAAAAACAGGAACATGACAGAGATGTTACGACAAGGAAAAAATCTTGCGACATTTAACATTTAGACATTCAACATTTAACATTTAGACATTAGACATTGAGACATTTAACGACAGAAGATTTTGCTTAATTTAGCGGCGGTTGTGACATTTAACGGCAAGCGCGACAATAATAACGATGCTTAAAATTATTGTAGTGCTTGACAGGATGATGATGATGATGATGAAAAGTGCCGTCACTCTACTCCTTCCCTTCCATCGTTTTTGATAATTTGATTCAGTTAATGATGATAGACTTGATGATCAGATTACGTTGATTGCATTTACCACAATAATGACGATGATGCATTTTCATAGTGGCGATAGTCGCACATTAAATATTTGTGTTCATGGCTTTGATAATGATAGTGATAATAACGAAAATGCTGCTGCTGCTTATGATGATGCTATTTGCATAGATCGTAGACTTTGTTTTCTTAGTGTTGACATAATTATATTTACGTTTATTTTATGGACTGTCGAATTGAGCAGACAAAAAGGTCACGCATAACAGATGTCATTTAAACGGTGGATTATATCACACATTTGAACTGCATGTTCGACCTGTGACATAAACGGTCTATCAGTTCTCATAACATATGTGTCATTTTAGTTTATAGTAGCAAGGTATTTCTCGGTATTTTTAGGCTGACAAAAAGAATCCGAAATAAGTGTAGATTCCGTATCAAATTTAGTTACCGCGTTTGAACTCATTGCAACCTTGTCAAATGTTCACTATTGCATTAAAACACATTTTATATCCCTTTGGTCTTTATAGGTTTATGTAAGTTGTATAACACCAATCAGTACGTGACGTAATGTTATTACAGGAAATGACAGCGGCACGTAAACGTGCCTCACCCATAACGGGGAAAATGTTGGAATGCATATAACATTTAGCAGATAATAACATTAATCCTCGTTATAAACAGATGCAAATTGTTAGAACAAACTGTTGAATACATTTATAGCATAAATTACAGACGGTTACAAAGGAAAAGCCATCTATCATGATTTATACATCAACAGTTTGATATAAATAAACTGTTTTTTATCCTAAAGAGATTCTTTCCATAAAGTATCAGATGACCAAAACAAATCGCAACATGTCTAATTCGATTTAAATAACTGTTTATTGCATCAATTTTATGTTTACTCTATCAGGATTGCTTCTTTCTTAATCATGTTAATGGAATTAGATTTTTTTTTAAAAGAAAACTTATAAAAAAAGCATCAGGATATGAAAAAAAGATTCATATATGGATAATACTGACATGCAATTATTTCTGGCGCCAATGCAAACTCTGTCTGATAAAAAGAAATTGTTGTTAATCTATTCAGATACTGATATTGAACTTCAAATGTCAACACACTGATGTTATTAAACAAAAAAATCACAATGATCGCATATTAAAATATAACAATCCAAATATAACTAAGTATATCATATTAAATATAAAATACAACATGCACATATATAAGTGAATATCAAAACATCTCAAATGATTGTATAGCTTTATGAAATTAACAGTATGTTAAAAAGGTATGTTATCTAATTCAAGTTCAAGCATTATGAAATGTTCGAGACATCGAATCATTATGTTCCGGAGCTCTGCTCGAAATTGGAGTATGTATCAAATGATTGAAGGTATTCATTCACACATTGATGACAGAAAATATACTGCTCCTGAAATATATCAATACGTTTAAAACAATTCGTATCTTGTGCCAAATATGCATATTTCGTTTCCGGTATTAGTTTCACAAATATACCCGGTAAATTGTACTACTTACTAGTTTTATTAAAGCAACATATTTTATCTGCTAAATTCAAAAATATAACAAAAGTTTCATTTACTTGATTGGGTATGGCCATGCTTCGTCTATACTTTATATGTCGTACGGTGTTTGCGACACTCACTTCCTGGTCAATTTGTGTTTTCTCCAACAAAGTTGATACAGCACAGAACAGTCCACTTTTCTCCGCCCCTGTCCTGACATGATTATGACAAAACATACAAATAGTCCTTCAACCCCTATTATCGGCATAATAATATAAAATGTGAACACATACTCTATGAGTAAATGATGTCCAAAGAATTGATTCCTTCATGACTTTATCAAGTAAATAGGCATATAAGGTTTCTCTGTCCTGTTTATTTTTTTCATACATTTCATTAATGTCCTCACCATTGTCTTACAACATGTCCTTAAATCATTATTACTTATTTATGTAATATTTTATCAAGTATATGAAAATAAAACAATACTTACTTATTCATAACTAAAATATTATTAACAAGATCAACAAGGAAAGGCGGCGTTCAATGAACGCAACAGGCTAATCACAACAATTATACATAAGAAGAAATAATAGTAACAGACAAGGACAATTGTCTATGTACTAAACTGGACAATGATATGTAATATAAAAGTCGCAAGCAGAATTTCATGAATGTCACTATAATTGTCGTATGGTTCTAAATTTAAAACAAAATACCTGCAATGTATCAGTGTTGGGCCATTTCCACCAAATTTCAGCTCTACATCTTTCACAAACTGTACAAAAGCTTTCGGTTGTTCCGGGACGGCTTGATTGTCGTTCCAATGTTTAAATTGAACATTTGTTATAGTTATCTTTTCTGATCTAGACTATAAATAAATCAAATTGTTTTTAAAAAAATCTGTAATGTGTACAACAAGCACTTTTCAAGTACAATGGAAACCGGAACGAATAGCTGAAAATCGAAGCTGAATGAAGTGCAACATTTATGATGCGCTGTGGCACAGGTAAAAGCGGTATTAAATTCTCAACATTTAATGTATAAGTATGAACATTTGTTATTTAAATGCATGTATTAATACGTAGGAATCCCCATTAATTGAATCGTTTAGTATTTTAAAACATGCTAACATTTTGCGTGGTGACACAAAGAAATCCATGGAATTACATTTTACAGTGTGTACATGAAATAAGGAAGTAAATAGTATAAAACTGAATATTCTTACAAATGGTCTTCTTATGTGAAGTTACAAGGTACACAATTAAATGATTTTCAGGACCTAAATATAAATCAGCTAAAGAAATTGTTTTTAAATTTGATTAAGGCTGTAAAAGTAAAAAAAGCATGATTATACCTTTCCTTGACGAGAAATGGTGAGATTCTTAAATATGTACTGATCCGTCTCACGTCCATTTCCAGTTTGGATTTTAAAAGCTCCTATCTTTAGTGTCTGTTTATCCGCAGGATAAAAAACTCCTACAGTCTGTAGAATTATAAATTTCAATCATTATTTTCTGTTAAAATTTAAAAGTTTGGTTAAAATAATGATCATGCCACATTATATTCTTTATGTCTGCTGGAATTTGCCCTAACATAACCTCGAGGTCAATCCCCAACTTAAACTTTGTCTTCTAATAATTTACCAAATATAGACAAACATTCCAATAGATATGTCCTAAAAACTAATGGAACAAACAATTTAGTTTTGATCGCCGGAAATCTATTGTTTGTTTACAGTAAATAATATAAAATATCAAAATACTATTGTCGAAACATTTGCCGACAAATAGCATTTTTTGTCACAAATGTCACAAACAATTGCATTTCATATCAATTTCCTTTAGAAAGAGGATGAGTGAAATTGGAAAATGGTAGCAATAGTGACACTTCTTGAAAGGACTCAACTGCCGTTTTTGACATGACGGGGCTGAAAATGATTTTCCAATTTATTTATGTGTATATTTCTTAATCATCTTGTGATATCTTACTGTTTTAAGTGCCCCATTTGATATAAGTAAGAAAATTAAAATTTTAGTTTAAGGCTTTTGGACCTAAGTGTATATAGTTTGATGTCCGGTTTGGCTGAAGACAACGATATCTCCTCAAATAACAGGAAACAATTCATTAACAGGAAATAAAGCAATATCATCATTAAGATTATTGATAAAGTACAATTCATCTATTTACGACAATTATTTGTCTTTTTTTTTTTTTAATTTTCTCGCTTTTGTGATTTAAAAATATAAGCCTATCTCTAAATTTCTATATGCAACCGCTACATAATGCCTTGTTGAGGCAAGTAAATTTATACGGTAGACAAGGTTGATACGAACGCACTAATCGAATGATTGACCGATTGTCGGACTGAAAACTGTGATTCAGGTATATTACACGTACAAATGGTGCTGCAATGCAGCAATTGGGATGCTCCGCGCAAAAGAATGCGATAATTACATAAATCATTGCTAAATCATTCCTACGCACATGTCGTTTTCTATTTAGATTATTATTGTACATTATTCCGGATGTTTTGTAAATTATATAAATTTGCATAATCATACTTATCGTATGCACTGTCCATTAGAGAGTGGGCAGATATTAAAGAAAAAATGCTTTAACTAATGCCTACCTGGTAAGGAAAGTAATTCCAATACAAACAAGACTTACAAGACTAGTAATGTGTCATGACAGTAGTGCAACATTATTCTGTTTGTGTCTCTAGTCAGTAATAAAAGATGATAATATTATATCAAAGTATGTGCATTTTCTTTTTTACCTATAATGATTCTCATGTTCTACAAATATCAATAGCTAATCATGGTAAGAAATATAATAATCCATATGAAAATAAGTCAAAATAATAACTTGCATCAACCTTATTTTTTCAAAATGTCCGTGTTAACGTCCTATATGTCTGCATTGAAGTTCATTATCAATAATTTGTTTGAAGCATTTCAATTCAACAATCATACATTTTTTTTAATTAGGTCCAAGATCTTTAACTTCAACGTATGCATGACAACACTGGTAATATAGTTGCGCCGATAATACAGAAGTAGAATTTACGTGTTTCGCGGAAAATGGTACATGTATCATGATTCAATAAAGGGAGACGAATCGAATACACTCATATGACGAAGGGAGACTACGCATTATTTCTCTTTACATAAGTTCACATGTAGCTATATTTGATCTGTTATATAAGTATCTGATCACTTAATTATTTTTGCAATCCATTTTGCCTGACTACAATGTAGGTATTTTCAAAATATATTTTCTAAAACAGTTTCAAACTCAAAACTAAAACTACTTCTATAGATTTGTTTTCGGACTTTCACAATGTTAAGGTCATCTATTATTTATAGCTTTCGAGTACATGTAACTACTAACCAGTCTTGTGTAGCAATAAAATACATACATAACCCACTACATACTACAAACAATAGTAATATCATGAAAGAAATAAATAACCGATTACGTTTATTTTTGTTTTGTCTTTTATACTGTCTTCCAAGCGATTGAGGCGTGTTATTTGTTCCCGTTCTCATTCATTAATATGACATGCTGCGAATCACTGAAGGGATAACTAATATATGGCTTTACATGATAGAAATCGAAAGGAATATTTGGTTCCGAATTTATTTTTAGCTGTAAATTGAAGGGATTAATTGATCAAAACCGGGTCCATGGACAAAAAAATGTAAACACAAATAGCTTTGCGCCTGTGGGCGCGGAACAATTTTAGACCCTTCCATATTATATGGCGGGATATGATTAAATAGAAATGAAGTAATTAGTAAAAGTTAACATTTACTTTATCGTGTAAAAGGTCAGTTTCCATACTGATGACGCATGATACATTTTCTTGTACAATTAACGTAAGAAAGTCCACAACAGTGTCTGGTAAAGGTGTTTGTGCCATTAGGAAATGATTTTCACTTCTATAACTCTGAAAAAACACAAGTAATTTCTTATTGTTCTTTTTCCTTTTTTTCTCATACTCAGGACAGAATCTTGTACAACAGAAAAAATGTAATTTTCATTTGTAATGTATTAAAAAGAAAATTTAGAAAGTATAATGTTTCTGTCAGCAAATAAAAACACAGTCACTCAAAAAAAAGATAACTTTCGTTTACATAAGGGTAACTTACAAACCCAATTATTTTTATTATTTTTTTACTTGTTTTAAAGTTTCAATTCCAATACTTCCAATTTCCCTGATTGTAAATTTGCCCAGCTATATTGATGAGTACGGACGTTATAACGCTAATAATACGAGTATATATTATTAGACAAATTTGGGCAGAACATTAATTATATGTGAACGTATAAATTTTTTTAAATGATAACAAAGTAACGTTGATTGTACAGTTTGCACTTTTCTAGTCAGGCCAAGATTATGTATTATATTGAAATATATGAAATTTGTATTGTTTAAACTATTTTAAGTTATGTTATATGATTTTCATATTATCTTACATCGACATAAACAGCATTGATATAGTCTTGCGAATTTGTTGTTTTGCTCATATACAATTTCGGTCTGTTGATATCTCCTGAAAATATATAATAAGTGAAATACATTTTATTTACCAGAAATATCGCTCATCGCGAATCCAAACCTGCACATTTGTCAACGGATTTCAATAACAATAAGTCCATAAATAAAGGCAGTACAGAAAAAGTATAACAATCCATTCCAGCTACAGTGACATTGACACAAGAAACCCATAATTATACAACCAATCACACTGTTTACTAACATATATGTCACTTGAGACAAGCTGATGAGTTAAAGTTTAAAGCAATAATATTTACCTTGACCTTTACTACGCAAAAAAGTAAAAAAGACCACTACGTAATTTTGCATGATCTAATTACGAGACATAGACCTCGTTTTCGAACTTATCTGCCTGTGACTTAGACTTTTGTTGACATGTAAGGTCATTTCAGGGGCATTTCACCTACAAATCGTCTTACAAACGTTATTATGCCTCCGACATCATAATGACATGGCTGCATATACATGTAGTGTAACCCCTTTCCGTTCGAGATTGCATGCGTGCGTACGTTCGCCCAAGCGTGTGTCCGGTCCATAAGCTTGTCCGGCCCATTACACTTGCACAAAAGAATTTTTAATAAATGCGTAGCATGAGGAGACCGTATTTTAGACGCCTAGCCTGGTCTTCAGAGGTAAAAATGTGGGCAGTTAGAAGATCGTGTAATGCATAAAGGATTTTGAAATAACTTAGCAAAGATGTGTTGCATGATGAGACTGTGTTTATTATGCAAGACGAAAATCGGTATTTCAAGGTGGACAAGTTCACATTTAGATGCCAACAGTTAGAAACATTGTTCGGCCTATAACTATTGTCACAAATGAGTAACTTAATGGGGGTTGCGTTCATTGAACGCCGCCTTTCCTTGTTGATCTTGTTTATCATTTTTTAATGAAAGAGTGTCTCAAGTAGTGCTAAGTAAGAAGACTAAACATTCTTTAAAATAGGGCCAATTTTAAAGAAAAGGGGAATAACTTTAAAGCAGGTGAAAAAACAAAAGTGTGACGAACGGATGGAACGACATAAGTGTCATTAAATGGGGTTAACGGACTTTTCCTTTGATCTTTATGTGGCATGTTTCGACATAAACTAGTAAAATCGGCTACGAGCATTACTTCAAACACGAATGTGAAATGTTTTATTTATTTATTTATTTATTTATTCATTTTTTTATTTATTTTTTTATTTATTTATTTATTTATTTATTACTTTCGTAATATCAAGACATAGCGGCACTGCAAAGGTCATATGTCGACTTTCCAGCTCTATTTTATGGATGAACACTTTTAATGATCCTATATGCATTATTTAAGGTACGAACAGGCACTTGAGTTGAACAGCTCAAACAATACTGTAGAGATAATATCATATCATCAGTACGATACACATGATGTTTTTTTCAACAAATAGTTTACACTTAAACATTTCTTCATATGACTAATTCATTTAGATGAATAAAAAAAAAAAAAAAAAAAAAAAAAAAAAAAAAAAAAAAATAGAAAAAAAAAGTAAAATGCGAAAAGTTCATCCAAATGTAATAGAAGTAGATGTACACATTGCAGCTCCATTATTGGAAAGCAATATATTTAGTAGTACTAATATTCCTGGTAAGAATTATCATGTAAATAACAATACTGATTGTTCTACGAAAAATGTTATATATCTTGTCACTTGTGATAAATGTAAAGAGCAATATGTTGGTCAAACGAAGCAACAAGTGTCTAAACGCATGAAAAGCCATAGGTTTGATATCAACAATTTTTCGATCCGTTATTTTCGACCAATGTCGCTACACACTTTAATAAAACCAATCATTGTATGAAGGATTTTAAATTTATGCCTATAGAGATTGTCACCGATGATATGGAACGCTTATTACAAGAATCATACTGGATTCATAAGCTTAACACATTATCTCCTAATGGTATGAATGCAAAAGTTTTGTACAATATATAACTGTGTCATTATTGTGCCGATATACATATACATGTAGTATGTTTGTTCTCATATCAAGGTTTTTTATTATTATTAATTATGAGAATTTTTGTATCACATTTGCAGATCCATATTATATGTGTAATTTATTGTATATGGCTGTATTCATGAAAGATTCTGTATTTATTTGACAAAGTTTTTATTCCCGCGTTAACGTCACGTTCGGTTTAGCGTATAGTTAAACGGACGTTGCGTCATTTGTCATTTGTTATTTTATAAACGTCAATTTTTCTGAAGAAGACTAAACGTCGAAAGCTTAAGAAAAGCGTTTGTTTTTATTGAACTGATTATAAATAAGAATTTTAATTAAAGACAAAACGTTTACTGCTTTATCGCATTATGCAACATTATTTTAAATCCAGACAAGTTTGTTTTCATTTTTTTAAGTTAGATTAAGTGCAGCAATTACGACCTACTTATAATTTTGTATAAATATAATCGTTTTTCTTATTTCAAAGGAACTTGCCCATCCCGAGTCTTGAAAAACATATTACAGGATCTTTATTGGTTTTAAGTATTTTCCTCCATGATGAGTAACATTTACTTTCTTCCTCGTTTTACTTGTAAGTTGTTAAAGCTGCACGCTCACAGGCTAACCATACACATTTTAAAATACATTGTAATAAAAGTCAAGATACATAGTTTTAAGATGTTCAATAAAGAAAACAGGTACTACTTAAGACGTTATGGTAACTTCAACTTAACTGGGTTAGTTGAATAATATAATGTTAATAATTAAGTGTTTTCATAATGGCCTTGTTAATTGGCTGAAGACTGTCATATTAGCCTGAATCCAAAGGCCGAAGATTAATATGACAGTCTTAACCCATTACTTCATGAGCATTTTGTGAAAAATGGCTGTTTTCATTGAAAAGTCTCCCGTTACAAGTTCAAATTGCTATAATACTATAAAAACTGCTTCAACACTAATCAAACTTGGCACAAATGTTGACTGGACCATTACCCTTGCAACAACATGCTCAGGCTTAAATTTTCTGTTACCATGGCAACGAGGGGACATCTCAAAATTGCCAAAAATCACTATTTTGCGTTGATTTTTTCCATCAAAATTGATTTTAAAGTGCTGCAACTTCTCAATGGATTGAGATAGAGTCAAATGTTTTTCAGCGTTGGTTACACGTTACCATATGATCAATCTGGGGTCATTTATAGCCTCTCACAAGTCTAAAATTTTCTTGACGATGAGGGGGACTCCGCCCCCTTCAAACCCCCTAAGCAGAAGGGGGCACATTCCCCTTCTGGCAACCCTCTGATTTATCCTTTGGTTGGGGGGCCGCGCCGAAAAAGACGTCACTTTTTTTAACAACATTTCTCAAACAAAACAAGTGTTGGGGGCCTAAATAAGGCATTTTTTCACCATTTGAGACAACAAAAAGGGGGGGGGGTGAAAAAGGCGTTAAAAGGCGTATATATAACGTAATGGGTTAAGCCAAATAACAAAAGACCGTTATGAAAACACTTAGTTATTTACAAGTTTATAAATTAACTACATATAAACTAAAACAGTTAATTAGATCTACTTAGTGAACATAATATACTATAATAAATGTAAAATTCAGTGGTTGTGAGGTATTGCAAATGAGATTCATGGTTTAAAAATGCCTTGGAAACCTACCTTGCAGAAATTCAAAATGGCGACATTTATAATGAAAAAAGCAGATTCATTATGGCCGAGCTGGGGAGCCAATCAAAATCTCATGATAGTCGAGTTTTCTCATAAAGGCCATACTTTTTGCATAATGGTCTTGTTTAATGTTCATAATGCCGTGCTTAACTTCAGATTAGCCTTACACTTGAAGTGAAAACGTGCCCAATATTACATGTATTATAAAGCTAATTGATAATGCTTAATATAGCTCGAGTCTGATAAAGCTAGAAGATTATGTTAATTACAATCACGAGTCTACTTGAACTAATTAGTACTATGCCTTATGAGGATATATACTTATTCCCCCTCCCCGGGCACACACAAAGAAATAAGATTGAAACATCTGTTCCAACAATTAAAAGTGACCTCTTTATGTACCATCTTAATTATTGGCAACGTTTTCATTTTGATGAGGAATTTTCTTGAATTTTCTTGGCCAGTGTTTCAAGATTTAACTTAATAATACTAATTCAACATAATTTACGTATTTTGTTATTCTTTAAACAAAACCGTACCTTTTCATTTCACATGTTATTTAATTTCTTGATAAGAATTGTTAATATGACGCTGAAAACTTTGCATGTCCTTCGACCGGGCATCGAATATAATACATTTCAACATAATTAGCAAGCATCGTACTCCTTGACTATAATTATCCGGAAAAAGTCAGAAGCTAAGCTTTATGCGTGATACAATTTAGCCCCACGAACTAAACACTTGAAAAATATGAATTTTATTCAAACATACTGGAAATGGTTTGACAATGAACGACAAATACCAAATATGAAAAAATTTCATCACGCAATTTTTAATTTGAGAAATACTTAATACCTGGAATGTCTGAGCCATCCCTATTCTTGTGTAGTAATGCTTTATTTCTCTCAACAGCTTTAATCTCGTCATCCGATCTACACTCTAACGACGCTTGAAGTTTCTTTGTTTGGAAAAGAACAAAATTACTGTTATCAATTATATTATTGTTTACAACAAACTTTCTTTGTTCTAAAAATATAAAAGCAAAAGGTTCAATTTTAATGTTTTGCTTGCTTTATTTTGTATTTGTTTTACAAATCTAAATTGTTTGATAAAGTAATAATTTGTAATTTAATCTATTGAATTTGCGACAAAATCAATAATCATACCCCAAACATTTTTCCAAGGTAGTCCTCTTTATGTGTCTTCATATATTCAGTGAATTTAGAGGCCTGCACCGCTTTACTGTCAAAGGTTAGAGTGTGAACGAGAGCGTGATGAAGGTATTGATATTGTCCCTGAAGAGTAAAACAAGGTGATTTAACTAGTAAATGTAATCATTCATGTACAATCATAAATATTACCAACGGAAAATTTCTATGGCGTCTATTTTCAGATTGTGGTGAAAAAGGTTGTATCACTGCAGTTTGATAACATTTTAAGACACATGTTGTTATATAAAAGTTATATTTAATTTAAAAAAAAATCTGATAAATAAACTTGTATCGTCACGGTAACGACACACCAGTACGAATGGTAAGAAAACAACATTATTTTCCTAACATTACATATCTAGTTACATTAAACATTGAATCAAACATATTTAATTTAATGGCGCAAAGTAGCAAAACGTTGGTTTATTAACATATGGGCATAAGTATAAGAAAATAAAACTTTAACGTTGCATTTATAATTAATTTGAGACTTTGATTGAATAAGTCGTGTGCAACGGATTTGAATATCAACGTGTTTACAAATGACATTAAGATATATTTAAGTGCCGTTCGTTCAATTATAGTAGTTGTTTTGTAGTGTATTCGTTTTGTTTTATACAGTGTGTGGGCTTTGTAAATTTTTATTTTTAGTAACATCTTGTTGGTTTGTTCTATTATCTTTTGTTATGCTTACAATCCTTTGCAGTCAGAATAAACATATTTGTCTTATTTATGTTACATGAAATACTGCTTCCCCTCATTACTTATATAACTATCGAAATCATAGCTTCAAATAGTTTTATATAACGAGTAAAGACATTATCAATATGAATATTTTAAACTATATTATAAATTTAGGTTTTTTTGTTATTATCATTTTGTCCTTACACTGCAGAAAACAAATCAGGGTATTATTCTTTTTAGTTATTAAGGACAAACGTTTAGAATTTATGGAAGTGTCCTTTGAATTGCATAAATAGCCTTACGTTATATCGACTTATATCTTTCTTTAGACATTAAAAGCAAATTTTCCAAAGTATTCAGCATTATGTTAACTTAATGATCAAACAATAGTCCACAATTCTTATTTAGTAAACATTAAATGCCGATAATTGTGCATATACATTTCTAAGTAGGATACATACATATATATCAAAGCAACAGTCAGTACAGCAACATTTACATCAATTTGTAAAAGTTTCACTTGCTGTTGCTTATATTTATACAAAGGTCTCTACCTTAAGAATAACAATCACAACAACAACACTTACAACAGTTTGCACCATGTTAACTCGCTGTTGTCTCATATTTCTTACAAAGGCATACACATCAACTCCTCCTTCTGTCTCGCCCTCCTCCGTTAGACTGTCAACAGCTATATATGTACCAGTTCTTCCTATTCCGGCGCTACAATGAATTATCAATCGATAATATATTCTCAGCACATACATGGGATATATGTGTTATATTTATCCCTAACTTTATATTATTCACTCCGTTGGTTATTAAAATTAGTGATATCACTAATAAATACATTTATCCTTCATAGTACTTTGAAATAATCTGGACAAGGGAAGATTGAACCAATAGCAATTATAGAAATAATGATCAAAAATGAATTTTCAGTTTGATTGAGTCTGTTCATGAAAGATAACGTAAGATGCAACATTAGCACGTCCAGTAGCACCGACTTTACGGTGACGTTGTCAAGTTATCGGATATAACAATAAATTACAATATGTAAATAACATGAAAAAGTCAAAGTTATATATAATATACAATACCAAAGGAGAAAATAATTAATTTAAAGTTACATTTTTCATTCATCGCACTCTGTCCTACAGGGCTAGGGAGTTATATATTTCAAACTGAAATTGCAATAAAACAATACATACTTAACAATTTAGTATCATTATGCTATTTGTGACATGATTTTAGGAATGTGTATCAAACTATGTAGAGATATATCAAACCTGCAATGTACGACGATTGGTCCATTAAGGTTTGTAATACTTCTAATGACCCTCTGACGAAATTCAACCAAACTAGTTACGTCATTGGGAGTTCTTTGATCTGGCCAAGCAGTAAAATGAAAATGAAGTACGACTCTCTCTTCTTTGTTCTAAAATGAATAATTCTATCTATATAAACACTACAACTCTTTATAATTATCTTATTTACCGAGGAATATTAACATATCATGAAAATCAATCTTTAAATAACATACATAAAACAAGCTAAACAAAACTGATTATAACAGGTTTAGAAATACATGTAAAGAGTTTAAGAAATGCATACAAAACATATTAATATTCATAAACCACTTTACATTTTAACGAATTGAAATGTTTTATTTGCAATACAATTACCATTTACTAACTTACTGACTGCCTAACTGATGGATCGACTTACTGACTTTATTTAACTGTACTTTACTCAACTACTTTACTACTTTACTTACTCAAATGCTATTTTTGGCACCTTTATGCTTTAGTTTGTATTGATCGTAAGTGCCTCGTGCTACTTTAATTACTTCATGTACTTGACAATATCTTTACCATGCTTAACACTTCATAAGTGATTAAAAATGTCATGAATCCCTATGCGTGTTGCTTAAACACATTTTTATAAAGAAGGAAGTAAACTTGAATGTGCAAACCACTTAACTGGAAGATGAATAATAATTACAATTGGTTTAACCGAGTCTGACATACATGTATATAGATATTAGATTGATCAACAGCGTCTTCAAAAAATATGTAACTTAAACTTACTTGTTTAACTACAAATGACCTCTTTGTATAGTTTGAGAAAATATCTTCACTTTGACACGTCACTTGTATATTAGTAAAATTCAGACTGAAACCTCTCTCCGGCCAATACTGATCACATTTCGATGCCTATATGTTTAGAATAACACAATCTGTTATGATACTACCAACAATGTTAAAAGTCTGGGTTGTTTTGTAAGCAAGAATGTTATGCAAAAAGACATTTCATTGTATAACGTTTACTGAATTAATATCAATACGCTAATCTGCTAAACAGAACTGAAACTTAATGAGATTTATATCAACTCTAGTGTTTATTATCTACTTCAAGTGAGGCAATTAAACAAAGGTCACTACATTGCCGGGTTTTCTTTCCATAGCACGGATAATTATTATAATATCACATTTTCAACAAAACAATGGACATTAAATCAATCATTTCATACAATGTGTATCTAAACTTCAGTCTTACTTATGCAATATATTACATATAATATAAATGTCTAAACAAAGGCAATTTATTACATGCCCATACTTACTCCAGCTTCTATCAACTTTGTTAACATGACTATCTTCCCAACTTTCTCTTGCCATACCATTATCCAAAATGCTGACATATCGCCCATGAATTTTATTGTAGGCCCTACATTTACGAAAATCAAAAATATGATTTTAAAGAAACAAGTACATGTATTTTTGTAATGAATTAATTTAAAGAGGCCATAAAAGCTATTTAATATATGTGCAGCTTGTACAATAATATATCTTACAAGTCGTGTAACGTTTGTGTATAATGTAAGGTTTCGTTTTTTATTGTTCAACTATAGCTTTATAATTGAGAATAGTAATACAATGTTGTTCTGTTTATATGAAATTCAATGCATCTTTTATCATCTGAAGAAAAGAAATTGAGTACCAGTCGAAGCAATGTAGGCCTTCCTCTTGTTATAGCCCTGAAATAAATATAGATGTTTTATTGTGTTTGGATGTTGTTGCGTTTTTTAAATACAATTAAATAAATTAAAGTAGTCACATAAAACATATATTCTACGCAAGATTCTACACTAAATAACTATGACAACGTAGATGGTAGGCGTAAGTAGTTGCGTCTGTAACTATTGACTACAGACTCATCGTGATATGTTACTTTTCAATACTTGAATGTCCACTAAAGGGATTTGATATGTAGTAAAAATCTTATGTTTATCATTTATGTACCAAACATTTTACTTATCTGAGTATAGATTTTATAATACTGTTATTATTTTCTTACATCTATATAACTTGCGTTTATATAGTTGGTGTCACCTTCCCTTAATACAACTCTCGTGTCATCATCTAAAATTATATAATTCAACGTTGAATTTATTCAAGTTTTAGGTTCATTGGAATTTGAATTAAAATATAAGAAGAGAATCTTTATTAGAAGAAACAGCTTTTCTTTACTCAATTACATTTTTCATTTATGAAACTACATGTAACAATACAAATTGCATTATACGTGACTTTAACTTATCGTATGAGTTAAAATAAATAGCAAAACCATTGATTCATTTACTACTAATGCAGAAAAATTATCGTCGGTTTAAATCCATATCGAAATTTAAATGTGTTCGGATCAAAACAGTTTTACTCACATTACAAATTTCAATATTCTTGTCGAGATTTCATATGATACTTACATGGGAAGAGACCCTGATATCTGTTTTTAGGCATGTTTTCTTTTTTCTGCGAGTCATCGTAGGGCTTAATCAAGCCATTTGGTAATTGCTGAAAATGTATTGACAATTACATTAAACACGTATAATGCTAGATTAAATCTCTTTTGATTCTTTCCTTTTTGTTAATTTGAGGAGAATCAAATATAATCGTGTATATGGCCTAGCCTTACCTAGTCACACCGTGTCGAGACATTAACTGTTAAGTAAAAAAAAAAAACGAAAAACAATTAAACTATAAATTTCATTTGCAACAAATACTACCAAAGAAATTCATAGAAATCAACTAAGAAATATTTGAAACATAAACACGTCTATTCATGTGTCCGCAAAATAAAAATAGTGGATAACGTCGTACTTGAGTCAACGTTTAAAATATGTACCTGGAATTCGTTAACAAAGTCCTGTGTTGTCTTCTTTGCAACAAATTCTGGAAATTTGTCTATGGTTATTTTCCTCTGGTTTACCGCTAAAACATTGTAATAGGTGTCGTCTGTACATGTAGCAGTTTCAATTCCAGATTGGTAGACCTTTTAGAAAAATCAGGTATTTAAAATGTTCTCTTTTTAATGATTAAAAAAATCATATGCTTTCTATTTAATTGTTTCGATATATTTCAGTGCTTCAAAAACATAACAATCAATGGTAAAATGGCATCGAAGGAATGGTGAAACATCACAGCACAGTTTTGAACTAAATACCTTTAGAAAGGCCAGTTAAAATGCTTGGTAACTCGGCAAATGTCTGTTAAGCTTAAGAACAATCTGAACCTTTCACAAGAACTGAATTGTTGCGAACAAAAACTTACATTGTGTAAACAGTTTGAATACGAAGATCACACTAAATAGACTTACTCCGGAATAAAGAATAATTTGGGGTTTTCCAAGCTAACCCGGGGATAAAATCAAACTTTTACAGTTACAGATTCGAAAATAAGCACAACAGGTTGACTTATCTATTCTGATCAGTAGTTCACCGTAAAGCGTTAATGGAAAAAAATGTATCGGGGAATTTAGCATGAAAAAAAAACCACATATAACGAGTTTTTAATATGGCCATATTTTTCGAAGTCAGGTATTGATTTCATTTGTCTTCTTTTAAAAGACCCACAAAATCGTTCAAAGCTTTTATATCAATAATTACCATGTGACCAGTTTTATAGCGGCCAGTCTCCATGGTAACGGATTCCTCATCGGTAAAGCAATCCTCAGTAGTCTCTTGTTTAACCACCGTCATCTCCCTACTGCCAATGTCATTCTTGGTACACATGTTTCTCGCGGCAGAATCGTGGTTGATATAGTTAGAGGTGTTCTCAACACATATCAGATCCAGGTTATCATTAGTTGGCTTGCCTTTTGGAGGTGTGTCTGCTTCAGGAGTTTCTTTTTGTTTGTTTGGCATTGCGTATACAATTTCTTTTACATAGATAATAAAAATATAGATAAGTCAGGAAGTTCTCAAAACGCTTAATGTATTTATTTAATTTCAGAACATCTATCAATCAGTAATCATGAAAAATGAAGTTGCTTTATGTAAAAAAACATATTTATTGATCAATAATGACCATTTATAATGTTTATGACTGATTTATTAAACTCAATCAGAAATCATCTGAAATATTCATTTTCAAATACGTTTTTAGGTTAAAAGTATTTAAATTACATGTTATTATGTGTTACTCTTTCAGAATTTTTCAGAACACTGACAGAATTACCGATATTCCCTATGCTTATATATAGCTACTCATATTACATAATAAATAGACAAAGGTTTTAACTTGGTTTACCATTATCAGGATGGTTTGTAGGCTGTTGATTGCATACTGAAGCTATCTCCTCGTCAGCGTTCTTCTTCATCTCGCGTTTATCTCTTTGTATCTTACATCTTCATTTAGATAAAATATATTTGCTCTTTATAAGCCTTATTGTAGTTTATGTTTATCAAGCATATACGATGATGTTTGTTTAATATACACACGTATTGATGTTTATTTCTACCTTTATATGTTCAACTGTCAATATAAAGAATGAATGTTGTTTTTTGCAGATTTTAGTTTGTTTTCTGATTAACTGTTTTATCATTTTTTAGTTCTTTAGCTTTAAGTTTACTTTTATTTTATTAATTAATATTTATTGTATTTTTTCATTAATATATATCATCACTTACTTATTACTTACCTTCTTAAAAGAAGGATGGCAATTATTATAATTGCGGATATCGCAGCAGCGGTTGTAGCAATGATTATCACGATATTGGTACTCCAAATTCCATTTTGTATCGACTCTGCAAGTTGATGATAAAGCATGTGATATCTTATAAGAATTAATGAGTTTATATTAGAATGATAAAATATTTTACTATTTCGCTTGAGGAGAAATTTAACGTCAATATAGGACTCGTGATTCGGACAAGGATTTTGTGACACGTTTTAACATAAATATCTTGGTAGTCGTGATAAAACACACCACCACCACCACCACCACCATCAACATCATCATCATCATCGAATCATTTCATAACATTAAATAATTATGAAATTGCCAATACTATACAAACAGTAAACTTGTGTTCCTAATGAATTGGTACCATCTACATTGACATTTTAATTATGCCAGCATTAGTATCTATATGATTACTCACATTTTTTGATAAATTTTTAGTTAATTTGAAGAAAAAAAGTTTTGTTCATAAAACCCGATTCATATGTAACTTGCAGTAATTATTCAAGACTGACCTTGTAAATCACACTTGTCTCCTTTATATCCATCTATACAACCAAATAGACAAAAACCACTATCTTTGTTACAAGATGTATTCTGACAATTGCCGCTACAGTTTAGGTCACAAAAGTCGCCCAAATAACCTGGTAAACAATCCCCAATGCACTGTCCGTTCAAAGAATTACAACTCCTACCATTTTCATTTGCCAGACAATTACGATGACAAACGTATTCGCATTTTTTACCAAAACGGTTGGCATCACATGTTTTTCTAAAAGAACACGTTCCATTGTTCTGGAAGCATTCGTCATCTGTGCAGTCATCAGAACATGTATTGTTACACTTTACACCCCAGTGTCCCTTCACGCAGCCTCTGTCACATTCACTGGATTCAAATGTACAGGTTTTGTTCAAGCAATGATCTGGGCAGTCTTGATGACACGAAGTGTACTCTTGTCCATTTCGATCGATGATTTTCCTATATCTCCCAGATTTACAGGACATGCAATGGTGTGGGTTATTCCTTGCACATGTCTTGCAATTCTTTGAACATTGCCTTTCACAGTTGGTAGAATAATATCCCTCTATACATTCATCGCAAATGCCATTGTATCTACCACATGCTGTTCCCGGTTTACATCTTTCACACTTCTTTTGGCAGTTTTCTCCGGTAAATCCTTCCTTACATTCTGTACAACTCCCATTGCGTTCACAAATGTTCCCTTTACATGTAAGTGGACAAGTTGTATCACATTTTGATCCATATTTACCCTCTATGCAGCGATTACAACGATATCCTTGAAAATTGAGTGCACATTCACACGTCCCGGCATTGAAATCACAGGTGTGATTTTTACAACCAACTGAACATCTCCATTGACAATAACTGCCATATTTGCCACTGTAACAAGATGCACACTGCTTGTTATATCCATTTTGAGTTTTGCATTTACATAGATGTCGACCATCTGTACAGGTATTGCAATTTTCGTATGATGTACATGATGAACATTCCTCCTTACAACGTATACTACAATTGGTTTGTAATTGATGTCGACTATCGTCGTACAAACGACCAATGTAAAATCCATCTGCACAGATACCACATTTATGCAAAGATGAACAAGTTACGCAATTTGATGGGCATTTTTGACATGAATTATAGCTGAGAAAATATCCAGGTTCACATTGTTCACAAACATTATCTCTTGAACAAGTGACACAGTTTGTCATGCACGTCTGTTCACAATTCCTTCCAGTCGCGCATTCTTTTGACGCAAACGCTGGAACAATGATTACAGACTAAATCAAAACAGTGACTTTATCGATCATTAAAATCGCGTTTGGAGTCGAATGCGAGGAATTATATTATGATTCGAATCCGAACGACAAACATCAATTTTATTAAGCGATTAAATTGCCGATTTGGATACATTGTTTCAGGCACAAGAAGGCACATGAGTAAAACCATCAACGTTCCATAAGTAAGTCAAAAGTCTTCAGCGTGCTTAGACACTGTGCAGTGAGCCAACTACCTAAATCATACTACGGAGGTACATGCATGCAATAGTTTTATATCATTACTAGAAATGTAAAATACTTACAACTGCCAAACAGAACTGACATAACAACAATAATCCTCATGTTTTGTTTTTATATATACTGTTGAAGAGCTACGATATTTGCTGTAATAGAAATAGTATATAACAGAATGACTTTCATGTGTTACATTAATTTCAGATGAAAGAATGGCAATCAATTTATTCAGGAAAAAATTGTTGCTAGGTTGTTCAAGAATGTTATCCGTTGAGGGTTTGTTTTTTTTTTAGTTTTTCTTTTATTTTATTCATTTATTTATAATTGGATTGTTGTTTCGTTTTTTGTTGTTTTTTTTGTTACTTTTGTATATTTTTCTTTCCTTTTTTAATTTAATTTCCTTTAAATAATTGTGAAATAAAAAGTTGTGAAGAAGAAAATCCTTACCTGGTTTAAAATGTCCAGCAGAGAACCAAGTGTAATTATTAATAACGTCTCGTTTTATTTTCCTCCTCTTTTGCCACGTGTGTGACTTTTAAGTAGCTACTACATGTAGATAAAAATATCCATTTTATATTTTATGACTAAGTACTTTAATTATTCAAAATAACAGCTTATTTATAAAACTTTCAAGAAGTTTTCAAATAGAAACATGCAATGAGACAAGTGTGCCGAAATAATTAGCCATTCACTATTGAAAAGATCTTCAACTTCCTTGTTTTTCAAACCTTTTTTCGTGTCATATATACATGTAATAAGCGTTAATGATTCATGCAATGTGGTTAGCGGTCAAATGATCTTAGTACATATAACTTCTTTGTCAATGACAGAACAATGTTTCAGATTTTCTGTCTTATTATTTTTGCGCAACACTTGGGTATACTTTAATTCTTACCAGATATTATGTACACGTATGTTTTACAGTGTGGTTTAAAATTTATATAACAAAATCATCGACATTGTCTTTGACAGAATACATTTGCTCGTATATTACATAGAAAAACGACACGAATTACGTTTGACGTTACGATATCTTGGTACGAGTATTATTGACGTTTATAATTACATTTCAGAAATAGGATTTGCTGAACAATTTTTGTGACATATTACCCGGAAATTTTATCTAAATGATTTTACAAACGTTTTCTGCATTTAGCAAAATTAAAGAACGAACCTGGGTCTTATAAGTGTAAATGTTAGGTTTTAAACTAACTGTGTGAAATAATAACACATGAAGAACACAAATTACTATAATTGACAAATAAAAGCCTCTAAATCTAGATTGGCGGTTCTAGATGTTGATTGAATAAAATACTATCTAAGAAGTGTCTTGTCGATTATATTCTTACATAGTTTTCATATTGTGGCAGATATATTCTTTAACATCATAAATGTTTAGATGATTATGAAAGTATAAAAGTAATGGCTACAATATTAAATTGGTGTTCTGTGTTCTGTAAACGTATATCTTCTGAATCATTCAATTCAAGAAAACGACAGATCTCTCGAGAGTCTAAATCTTTGGTATGCAAAATGTCAGACCGATCATGTTTTTTTCTTTCTTTTTTTATTGATTTCGTCTCCTTGTCTTTTTTAAAAGTTTAATTGTTGTAATAACACATAATTTTTAAGAAGTCAGCTTCACATCTGTCATGAACTGTTATCTGTAAAACTTGGATTTTTTATGTTTTAACTGCGTTCAGATATGAATGTTAACACAAAACTACTCTATAAATTACATATGTTATTTTTTGTTAGAGAAAGGCGTGACATTGAAAATATCAATTTTATATATAAATTAACTAAAGTGTCTTAATAGTTTAGGAAATGAATTAGGAGTCTGATATTACAGAACAATGTTGTATAATACTTTCGTGATGGAGCTATTCGTGGTGAAAACCAGTCATGAAATACCTCCTAATGAGTCTATGTTTGGTAACCATGTTACTGTACATGAATTATTCATATTTAGTAAAACATGTTTTGATAAGGAAGTCAAAACACATCGTTTTTCCATCTCATTAATATAAATCTATCCTCAGCAATTTATGGTTCATTTAAAGGTCTGCCAAATGTATCAAGCTATAGATATGTTACAATGACAATAATTACCATCGTATCTCGGTTATTGACTTTTAAGGTTAAAGTAGTTTGATTACGTCTTAACATTTAAGTTAATTTTTTTGAAAACAAAACTCGTAATGAAGCTGTGTATTAATTTTGTTATACTTTAATTCTCGGGTTTATTTGTACCACTTGTAATTTTAATTGTAATTTAATTTTGTAATCCATAATCGCATACATTTTCATTAATAAAATATATCGAACACGTCACAATTGTTATTTTATTCGTTCTTAACATTTCCGCTTCAATTCTTTAAATAATAATAAGACTTATTTTAGATTTTAACACAAAAGATGTAGATGTACCAAATCCTTTAGTGTGGAACACTTAAAAGACACTTAAAAGATCCCAAGTAACCCTCATTGTCTTTAAATTATTTTGTTAAAAAATATTTTACGGTTAGTTCTAGGAAACACTCTAAGAAAAATGCACTAAGTGTACTTTATACGGACGTATTAATGTAGATATAAATGTAATGCTTTATCAATATGCAAAGATATATTGAAATCATGGAAATTATATAAATTGAAAAGAATAATAATCAAATAATAGCATGCACTCCGAATATAGCCTACTAAATGTACCGGGTTTGTTTTATTGTGTGTGTGTTTTTGTTTTTTGGGGGTTTTTTTGTTGTTGTTTTTTTGTTATGTATTTCGGTATTTTCATGCAGTTTCAGGGATATTAAGCTGAATTGGTGATCTCGTTATTTCAGACAAACATTATAAAATATCATTTATATATTCTTATGTTCTATTTAAGCTATTAAAACATCAAAGAATATTTAAAAAATGTACTACAAATATTTGTGCACATTATATGTAATCACTTAAATATATGAATTCATTTTTTATTGAAAAAATTGACTAAGACTTTTTAGAAAATGAATTTCTGATTACCTCCCTTTATTTACATAAAATGTTAAATTAAGTAATATCTTTATAAATAATGCTTGTTGGAACTAACAATATTGATCAATCTTAATTTGAGCATCGTATTTATGATATAAAACCATAAAAATTGTGTTACAGGACCTTTAATGCAATTTTCAAATCAATGTGAAATGTTGTTAAATGTTTAACGGGAAAGAGACTGTATATCAAAAAAAAAAATAACTAGAAATGTTTGTTCGCGATTCTCCTTAACATTGTTTAGGAATTTTGCCTGTTAACGTGGTGGTGGTGATGTTGGTAGTTTTCACACCGGATCACTGCAGTAAGCCACATTAAATATTCCAGAGCGCAGTTCAGGCACTGTATCGATCCTGGTCAGGCCGTCAAGCAGTTTACCAGTACTAGTTGCCTTCACTTTCGACTAATGTACATGCAATAGCAGAGGTACATTGCGAATGACCTTAGAAAAGAAAAAAAAATCATGATCAATCACAACGAAAGTGACATTCGCCGTCCGGATATCGAACCCTACAGTCTAAAGCTCTACCTATTGAGCTAAATTATACTCACCACCGGTTGCACATATGGGCGAGTCCTTCTGAAGAGTATTAGTAATTTTATATTTTAGAGGATAGTGCAATTATAGATAAAGAACGATGTCCCAGAAGCATCTTCTGGTTCTTTAGCGTGCCAAGTGTTTAAACACCCGTACACTGCACCTCGATTTAAGATCTTATCCGAAAGACTGATTGGTTATTTTGGTTTGCCAGCCCTGGAATCGAGCCAACAATGTCGTGAATACAAGTCTCGCACTCTAACCGATTGAGCTATGGGGGCTGGCGCCTGTAAACGTTTCAAAAGGGTCCTTTATATCATTTTACTTTTGTATGGCCAATGGGATTTTCTGATTTGAGTTTGTAAATTTAAAATGACTAATGAAAATCCTACATCTATTCAGTCGTTTTATGTATATTTTAAAGGAAATCAAAATGTTTTCAGACGCACACAGTCCGTAAGAATTTCACTGCAACGATGACGATTATCTTGAAAAATGTTTATTCGATAAACGTTCATGCAACCGCTAAACTAGTGATGTAATTTTTTACGTGCATTTGATATCTTTGCTACAATAAAATTGACACAGAAATACTGCTGTTTTTAATTCATAAACATACAGTATACAAATATCTATAAATGTATTTTGTGAATAATTCATAAACATACAATAAAAAAATATTTATATTTTGTGAATATTTAATTTTCCTTACGGAACTAAGTAAATGAACTCATTATGCATTCTGTCACTTAAATTTACCCGAAACAAACAAATATTTTGCACATATGCGTACAAGTAATAGAGTATCAACAGCAAAACTACTATGTAAAGAACAAAATTTATGGTCTTTCAATGCTATTTTATTTATGCCACTCGGCAATATTTTTCCTTACCGATCGTGTGAATGAGCTAATATTTTCACAAGTCTACTCTTTCAACAACACATTGTATCTCACATTCACATCAATATTATACAAAACCTTATATTATACAAATATTATTCAAAACCTTATATTATACAAATATTATACAAAACCTTATAGTATACAAATATTATACAAAACCTTATAGTATACAAATATTATACAAAACCTTATAGTATACAAATATTATACAAAACCTTATATTATACAACTATTATAACAAAACCTTATATTATACAAATATTATACAAAACCTTATAGTATACAAATATTATACAAAACCTTATAGTATACAAATATTATACAAAAACCTTATATTATACAAATATTATATACAAAATCTTATATTATACAAATATTATACAAGACCTTATATTATACAAATATTATACAAAATCTTATATTATACAAATATTAATACAAAACCTTATATTATACAAATATTATACAAAATCTTATATTATACAACTATTATACAACAAAACCTTATATTATACAAATATTATACAAAACCTTATAGTATACAAATATTATACAAAACCTTATAGTATACAAATATTATATACAAAAACCTTTATAGTATACAACTATTATACAAAACCTTATATTATACAAATATTATACAAAACCTTATAGTATACAAATATTATACAAACCTTATATTATACAAATATTATACAAAATCTTATATTATACAAATATTATACAAAACCTTATATTATAAAAAATATTATATCAAAAATCTTATATTATACAACTATTATACAAAACCTTATATTATACAAATATTATAACAAAAACTTATATAGTATATCAAATATTCTACAAAACCTTATAGTATACAACTATTATACAAAACCTTATATTATACAAATATTATACAAAATCTTATATTATACAAATATTATACAAGACCTTATAGTATACAAATATTATACAAAACGTAATATTATACAAATATCATACAAATATCATTAGAATCATGATTTATTATATAAAACAAAAACTGCGATAATATTTAGTAGATTAACAGATTAACAACTTATTATACTCATTATATTTTTTAATTTTTGAACAGCTTCGCAACTTGATGAGTCCATTTCTAAAGTCATTTATTTCAAACACTTTGTACAAGACAATAAGTATCTCAAATTTCAGTGACTTCAAAGAACATCTGATTCAGTGAATGCATTATTTCAGTAAACAGGCGCAGTTGATATATAGCTTCAACTAGATAGATATACCGTGATAATACAACATAATCGTGTATTACCCTCCAGACAAGGATATGTTGTTATTGTTTTTCATCGTGTATGTTATTGTTGATGTTGTTGTTGTAATTGTTGTTGTCCCAATGCAAAAACTATCATATGTTGGAATTTGACCTCATTGTTGTAATAATGATTCGGATTGCCTGTTTCTTCTGTAGACAAATTTCGTTTATCTAGTGTCGGTATAACTTGTTAGATGAAATAGAAAAAGTAACAAAGTAGAATGATATTTTAAGAAAATGATAAAATTGGTAACATGAAAATATGTAATTAATGTACATGTTTTTCTGTATATAACGAAAATTAGTACACCTATATTATTTTCAATTCATAGTGAAATTATCTAAATGTAATTTCACTTTAGCCAAAGTATATTAGAAAGGGAATGATTAGTTTATAACAAAGATGAATAAAAACTACAGCACAATGACGCTGTTACAATGTCTCATATTTTCAAACATGAAACATATGACGGGATGATTTGTGGATGACAAGAAAGAAAGTACATGGCGTTACATGCAAAGTTAAATAAATGGAGAATCTAAAACATATCTTTGCAACAACACAATTAACTTTTCAAACTGTTTTTCTATAACTTGGAAAACAAACCTCTAACGAAGTGTAGTCAGTCGAACATAAACGTGCTGTTTGACGGACGTCAGTGCCACTAATTGTTAGACTTTCATAGACTGTAGCGACATCATTTACTTTACCTGGTGTATTGTTATCGTCGGAGTAAGCCGGAACTGCTTCTTCGTTGTTGTTGAAATTAAACGATAAACAAGTTAAAAAGAAAACTAAAATGGACTTTATATATTTGAATTAGTATGTTTTTTAACTGATAACATGTGGTTTATTTACATTAAACAACTTTATTGCACATTAATAAAATTCATCTTATCACAATTTATATACATCTTTGTACAGGTTATAATTACAATTTATAGCCCTTTCTGATTCCTAAATCTTGTTATCTATCAAAATAGACCGGTAACGTTTTTTTTCTATTTTTAGAAACAGTGATCTTGACACTGTCCCTGATGGTGGCACAAACAATCCCAAAAAAGAGATATCTTCGTATGTTTGCTATTAGCCAAGTTTGATTACAATATGGCATTGTGGTAAAAAAGGTATCGATACGCCTTACTTTAGTTATTGTCCAGAAAACGTTGTTGTTTTTCTTCAATTTTCAGTAACAGTTTTACTTGAACTTGACTGTTGTGGTGGGTCCAATAACAAACCCAAGCCAGGTCTCTACATACGCTTGCTACACACCAAATTTGAACATAATATCTCAATCCTAAGTCTACTTTTTATTTTTTTAGTAGAAGTGACATTCACTATGGGTTCCAAAAGCAATTTTTAGCAAGACCTCTTGCCTACTGCAGTTTGCTTATAAAATATTAATCCTGGGATTAAAAAGCAATGCAAGACCAGGTCTTTACATGAGCCCGTAATATACCAAATCATCTTTCGAAAACCCGTTTTCTATTTAAAGAAACAGTGACCTTGAACCTTGGGAATCAAAAAGGTTTTTGAAAGGTTATAAGCTTGATATATACCAAGTTTGATCACAATTTCTCATTCCAAACTCTAGTTGTCGTCAAAAACCATTAAATGGACCGATCTGCCAACAAGCTTTCTTCCTCCCCCATCCCTACCCCAAATTCGGTCTTGGTATAAAAAGGATTTCACTATAATAAATTTACCATTATCAGATTGGTTTGTAGTCGGTTCAATGCATACTAAAGCTGTCTCCTCGTTACCGTTTCTCTTCACATTTGACTTGTTGTGCTTGTTGGGCTTGTCTCTTTGGTGTTTACATTTTCTTTTAGATTAAACATGTAATGATAAAAATATTTGACTTTTATAAGCCTTCCGAAAGTAATTTTAGTAAGAACATTTCTTTTAACATTTATGTTCTTTTTTAAAACATTTATTCGTATATTATCAAATAAATCAAATATTGAATGACATTTGTGTAGATTGATGTCTTGTTTTCAGTCTTTTTTCATTGATTTCTAAAAGTTTGTCCCTTTGGTGAATCATTAACTTAATTTAGTCAATATATACTGTTGTCAATATTTACCTTCTTAAAAGAACGATAACAAGTATCATGACTGAGGTCAGACATGCCGAAGCGATTGAAGCGCCGACAACCAAACTGAAACAACTCCCTGTTCCGTGTTGTATAGACTCCGCAAATTGATAATAAAGCATATGATATCTTGTCAGAATTTTCAACGTCACTACCATTTTGAATCATGCCTCACATTTTTTTCATTTCAAATTGTATAAATAAAACATGTTACATATGACAAAAGATGTTCTACATTAAGGTTATTATAGTTAAGTATTCCAGTGACCAGATATTTTTCTCTTCAGGAGAACACTATTATAACGTTATCATAGCGCTCATAATTAGATCAAGATTTCCGCGGAAAGTTTTTTTAACACCGATATCTTAAAAATCCTGATTCAGGTTTTGGACAATTTCTTTTACTTATAAAACATACGCATCTCGAATCGTTACTTAAAATAATTAAGATACATATTGCATGAGTTATTAAAATAGTAAAACTATATTACATAATAGTGTTCCAAAGTTAAAAGGCACTGTGTTTATAATGAGTAGATGTAATCTATATTTGCATTAAGTTTGTGAATGCAATATATTGCAGTAATATATTATAATTGAGTGTTAAGCTTTGTGTTAGTTTTTTAGAAATTTAGTTTCATGCAATTCATACGAAACTTAGAGTAACAGTATTTTGTTAAGACTGACCTTGTAAATCACACTTGTCTCCTTTATATCCATCTATACAACCAAATAGACAAAAACCGCCATCTTTCTGACAGGTCATCTTCCGACAATTGCCGCTACATTTAAGGTCACAAAAGTTGCCAAAATAGCCTGGTACACACTCCCTTATGCAATGTCCGTTTAAAGAATTACAACTCTTACCATTTACACTTGCCACACAATTACGATGACAAAAGTTTTCGCAGTTTTTACCAAAACGGTTGGCATCACATGTTTTTCTAGAAAAACACGTTCCATTGTTCTGGAAGCATTCGTCATCTGTGCAATTATCAGAACATTAATTGTTACACTTTACACCCCAGTGTCCCTTCATCGCAGCCTCTGTCACACTCACCGGAATCAAATGTACAGGTTTTGTTCTTGCAATGATCTGGGCAGTCTTGATGACATGAAGTGGTATTCTTGTCCATTTCCTATCGAACATTTTCCTATATCTCCCAAATTTTACAGGACATGCAATGGTGTGTGCGTTCATTCCTAACAACATGTCTTGCAATTCTTTGAACATTGCCTATCACAGTTGGTAGTTATAATATCCCTCTATACATTCATCGCAACATGCCATTGTATCTACCACATGCTGTTCCGGTTTACATCTTTTACACTTCTTTTGGCAGTATTCTCCGGTAAATCCTTCCTTACATTCTGTACAACTCCCATTGCGTTCACAAATGTTCCCTTTACATGTAAGTGGACAAGGTGTATCACATTTTGATCCATACTGACCCTCTGTGCAGCGATTACAATAATCACCTTGAAAATTGTGTGTACATTCACACGTCCCGGTATTGAAATCACAGGTGTAATTTGTACAACCAACTGAACAGCTCCCTTGACAATTACTGCCATATTTGCCACTGTAACAAGAGGTACAGACGTTGCTAAATTCGTTTCGAGTTTTACAATTACATAGATGTCCACCATCGGTACAGGTATTGCAATTTTTGTATGATGTACATGATGAACATTCCGGTTTACAATGTACACTACAATCGTTACTTATTTGAAATTGACTATCGTCGTACCAGCGACCATTGTAATATCCATCTTTACAAAAACCACATTTATCCAAAGATGAACAACTTACGCAATTTTTGATGGGCATTTTTGACATGAATTAAAGCTGAGAAAATATCCAGGTTCGCATTGCCCTTTTCCTGCTTCTCACTTTGATTGGTGGTATTGAGCCAAATCCCGGCCCCGGTCCCGGTACGAGGAGGGGTAGTATTTCAAATGCACGCAGTGCTGTAACTAGATCAGGTGGGAGAATCGCAGAAAATCCAAGAGGCCAACAGGAACGTGAAAATGATACATTCTCAAATACACAGTCAATTAGTTTGAATAGTTCTCAATCTACTCTTAATACGTGGTTTCCTACTGTAACACAGGCTAGTCCAATCAATAACTCTGATGCAGCGTCTCGTTCAACTGGAGCAACAAGTAATTCAACCAACAGTCCTGTGCGAAATACACCTGTAAATGACACTAGGCCCATGTCTATTTTGTTTTTAGATATACAAGCTCATGTTCGCGGTTTAGACAGGAAATTTGACACAACTTGAGCAGTCCATTTAATGACTTAAAATCAGAGAATTTTAAAACTACGTGAGGCAAAATGTAAAACTGACTGGCAAAGTAGATAAATTAGCAACTCTTGTTAACGAGCTAGAAAAATTTCAAAATAATTCTCCTAAACGAAAAACACGAACAGCTTGAAAGTCAGTCTAGCGCCAAAACCTTATATTCTATGATATAAAAGAATCGCATAAAAGAAACATGGGGAACAATCCGAGCAGGTAGTACGTGACTATATTCGTGGATGAGCTTAGTATGAACGAATCCGATATAAGAATAGAAAGAGCCCACATCGTTTTATATAGTAAAAAAACAAGCCTCGCCCCACTTTATTGTTAAGTTCTCCTTCTACAAAGACAAGTAAACTGTGCTGAAGAAGTATCGCGAAATCACCAAGGGCAGCGCGAAATCAGCGTAACCATGACGACAACATTAGTGACCCAGGGTCAGACCGGCACAATGATGTTTCTTTCTTCCGGTTCAAATGTTAGGATAAGTGAGGACTTCCCGAAACGAGTTAGAAATATACGTGCCCTTTTAATACCTTTTCTAAAAGAGGCTATTAGCAAGGGTGAAAATGCGTTTTTACGATATGACAAACTCGTCATAAATCATCGTGTTTATTCATACGACAGTGAGAAAGAACGTCCATTTCCGGTTACAAGATAGGAGATCGGCAAGGTCCCAAGTACCAACAATGACAACTGTCTTCAGTCTTTACAAAACACTAATGTTATTCACCATGAAACAAAATTTGGGCATCACTTCCGCAATGAAAATGACTATTCTATAAATATTGATTTAAAGATGTGTTCCTGGAATATTGAAGGATTAAAAAAATATTATAATGATTTTAGCTTTCAGTCATACTGTTCACGCTTTGATATATTAAGTTTCTGTGAAACTTGAGGTGTTTCAAATGATGAATTCGAAAACTTTTTACCTTGATATACAAACTTTAACTTTTGTAGAAGAAAGAAGAATACAGCTGCACGTGGTTCCGGAGGCGTGACGGTTTTTGTTAAAGACTGGTTGATCAAACGTGGGTCTATAAAACGTGTATTTGAAAATATTACTGAATGTGTAGTGCTATTAATAAGTGCTGAATCTATGATTTATGTGAATGATATTATTCTTATATTTACATATGTATCTCCAGAATACTCGTCTATTTATTCGATTGAAGATAATAATGGTATTTGAAATTTTGAATACAAGTATTAGTCAGATTAAATGTTAAATATCCCGATGCAGAATTATTTTTGGCGGAGACTTAAATTCACGTATAAAAAACTTCAATGACTTTGTGTTAGATGATAATCTATTGTTTATATTTGGTGATGATTGTACCATACCCAGAAGATGATTTTTAATATGCCTAGATTATCTAAAGATACAGAGTTTAATCGTTTTGGATTATCACTTATTGAATTATGCTGTTGTACATATGGTATACATGTTTTTTAATGGAGATTTTTTTGATGATATTCCTGGTAACTATACTTGTTTTAGCAAATATGGAGCCAGTGTTGTAGATTTATATGGCAGCTACTACTAGTTTGTTTAAATATGTAACATTTTTTAAAGTTGATAATTAATGACGAGTCTGTACATTTTCCTATTATTTGCCATTTTTCATTCCCTTCTATAGGTAGTCAAAATCAGTATAATTTTGAAAATGGGGAGAATATGTCACCATGGCTGAAGTATAAGTGGAAATCAGAATTCAAAGAAAATTTTATAAATAAACTTACGCCCAAGTTTCAACAATTTGATGAAATACGTGTTAATTCACAGAATAGAACTTTGTCCTCGTTTCTTCTAGACTTTTTAGATATCTTAAAAGTTTCTGCAGATGATATGAAATGTAAACATCACAAAAACGTATCATCTCAACCATTATGGTGGGATAACCAATGTCAAATTCTAAAAAGAGATAAAACCGTTTTTCTTAGACAGTTCCGGGTTTCAAATGAAAGAGATGATTTAATAAAATATAAAACGTCCAAAACAAATTTAAAGCACTATGTAAAAATAAAACAGTATTTCCACTGCAAAGCTAAACGAAAGCTGTTGATTGATTCCAGGAAAAATGCAAACAATTCTGGAATATTCTTAAAAAAGGTAATAGTAAAGAAAATGTAGATTCTTTAATAACATGTAATGAATGGTATGATTATTTTAAATTACCCTTGAATCCTGTAACTGGGGGAAATAGTTCTATCGATGAGCAGCCCGTGGTCAATGTAAATCGTAATTACTTAAATTGTGACGAAATTAACGTTCCTATATCTGATCTAGAAATAGTGCAAAGTATAGACCATTTACGTGCTAACCGGTCGCCTGGACCTGATGGTGTCTGCTTAGAAATGTACAAACATTTTATTCATATAATTTTACCATTTTTGAATGCTCTTTTTAATGAAATTTTTGAAAACGGAAACTTCCCAGAAGAATGGAGTCAAAGTATTATCACTCCAATACATAAGAAAGGTTCTAAATCAGATCCAAATAATTATCGAGGTATTTCTTTAATAGATTCCCTATGTAAAATATTTGTTAATATATTAACTATTCGTCTTACTAAATGGTGTGATAACTATAATGTAATTGATGAGTCTCAGGCTGGATTTAGGAAAGGCTATTCAACAATTGATAATATTTTTACTCTAATGTCTTTGATCCAGAAGTACTTATCGAAGAAACGGGGTAGATTTTATTGTATATACATAGATTTTGCCAAAGCTTTTGACAGTATTCAGCATCAAAAATTATGGGACGCTTTTTCTAGAAATAAGATCAATGGAAAATTTTTAATGATAATAAAATCTATGTATGCAAAACTTAAATCATGTGTTAAAGTTGATGACAAACTTACAAGCTTCTTCTCATGTGATATTGGAACAAGGCAGGGCTGTGTTGGAAGTCCGATAATTTTTTCACTTTTCATAAATGATCTAGTTACTTTTCTGCATGAAAAATGTAATAGAGGTATTTTTGTATCCAATGACATTGAAGAGTTGATTGCTCTTATGTTTGCTGATGATGTGTCTAGCTTTTCTGACACCGTTATAAATCTACAGCAGCAAATAAATTACATTGAAGATTATTGTAAATCTGTTAAGATGAAGATAAACTTAAGTAAAACGAAAATCATTGTTTTTAGAAATGGCGGTGTTTTGAAACAAACTGAAAAATGGTTGTTTAATAATGAACCTATTGAAGTTGTTCCATTTTACAAATATTTAGGTGTATTTTTCACACCAAAGTTAGTATGGTCTAAAACACAAGAAATGCTTGCACTACAAGGACTAAAAGCTTCTGCTTGTATATTCAATTTTCAAAGACAATTTGGTCACATTGATCCTATTGATATGTTCAAAATTTTTGATTCAATGGTAAAACCTATATTGTGTTATGCGTCAGAAATCTGGGGTTATAATTATGTTGATAAGATTGAATCTGTACAAGTTAAATTCTGTAAACAATATTGTAACTTGTCACAAAATACAACAAGCTATTTTGCTCTTGGTGAATGTGGAAGATTACCTCTCTGTACTATCTATATGACAAATTGTGTTAAATACTGGTTAAAACTGACACGTATGGAGATCATAGGTACCCAAAACATTGTTATTTGATGTTAAAACGACTACACGAATCTGGACGGAAAACATGGGCTGGCAACATTAAAGATATGCTTTTTCAATTTGGTTTTGGATACGTATGGATCTCTCATGATGTCGGTGATGACTTAAATTTCATTAATATGTTTAAGCAACGCTTATTTGATTGTTATTCACAAAACTGGCATAATGCTGTTGATTCTTCTCCTAAAGCATTACATTACAAGTACTTTAAGAC